GGGGCAGCCTGGTGCTGCGGTGCTGCCGGCCACCTCCAAGAGCTACAGGTTTTCCTGGTCGTGGCTCCTGCGCCGGCTCCTCACCCAGGCTGCCCCACATGCCAGGGCCAGTGCCACGGGCACCTTCACGCTGAGGAAGAGCAGCAGGTAGGTGACGCCGAGCTGGGGCCTGGGTAGGAGAAAAGAGATGATGCTAGAGCTTGAGTAGGGTCTGGGCAACGAGGATGGGGACTGGGGCACTTGCATGTCTGCCAGCCACCTCGCTCGCCCCCAGGATGCTCCTTGGGGCTGCTGCAGCCAGGGAGATCCAGGGCTGGGGGATACGTGCAGGGGAAAAGGTGTCTTAGGCTGGGGAATGCTGTTGGGGGCTTGTCCGGACCCCAAGCCCTGACTCACAGCACTGGAGGGTCCCCTCCACAGTCTGTGGAGCACAGGGGGTTGGTGGCCAACAGGCTCACATTGCTGCCCTCGGTTGTGGTTGAAACAGCTGCGAAGAAAACACAGAGAGTCAGAGCAAAGTGGAGACTCCCACACCCCGTCTTGCCCCCTGCATGGGGGGTCTCTGCCCCAAGACTTCAGCTGTGGAGGTGCAGGAGGTGGAAATGGGGGTCCCCAGCAATGCACTGGACACTGGGGTGGAGGAGGAAGGAAAAGGGGGCTTTAACTGGGAGGCACTGGAAACCCCAGAGGATGGGCTTGTAGAAGCAGAGACGCTGAATGGGAGCGAGGGAGAGGCTCTGCACAAAGCTCCGTACAGCCTCTTCTGTTCCTCATCCAAATTTGCACTGGGGCAGCCTCCAGCCAGTGTTGGTGCCTGCAAGGAGCTTGTTCCTGCTTTGACAACCCCTGTGTTCCCCTGGCTGAAGAGGCCCTGTCCCCAGCACTGTGACCCAAGTGACGGGCTCCATCGCACATCCTTGCTTTGCTCCTAGCCCGGCTTTACCTGCGGAGACCGTCACCTCAGTGTTGTGCCACAGGTTGAACCACAGGCTCCTCCTCAGCCCGCAGGAGTACCAGTCTGCGTCTCCCAGCATGACACCGCCCAGCATCACTGTGAATGAGCATGCTGCATGGTTGTCCCTGATGGACACCCTGCCTTGCGTCACCATCACCTCCGAGCCGTTGGTTTGGACAATGTAGGTGAAGCAAAACCAGAGGAAGTCCAGGCGGCACCAGTACTTGGGGTAGAGCTCGTAGCCCGGCTTATAGCTGCAGGACACAGCCAGCGAGCTGCCCTGCTCAGCCATCACTTGCGTGGGGCCTGTCACCGCCCAGCCACCTGCAGGGGACAGGGAGAGGTGTACCGGCATCACCTCGGGGAACCGGGAGGGATCTGAGCCCGGGATGCTCGGGGGCACCCTGTCCCGAGGGAGGCTGTGTCCATGTACCCGCCATGCAGGGGAGCGGTGCTGAGATGAGATGTCCCCAGTCATTAAAAAAAGAGTCCCTGTCAAGCGTGCATGTTATTAAACGAGCAAAAAGCCTTATTACCAGGGTTCATATGACAGCAATACAAGCATCTCTTAGAGATCACCCCCTGTAACTGTGCACTGGCCACAAGAAAAGGACGGTATCAGCTGGGCTCTTGCCGTGACCGCGGTGGGCTTCCTGGGCTGGCTCAGTCCCAGCCTCTCTGCAGCTCTGCCAGAGCCCGTGGGGTGGGAACCGCCTGACCTGTGCTCCCGGGTCTCACCTGGGAAAAGGGTCCAAACCAGGAAAATCCTCATTTTCCAGCTTCTTGCTCCCGATGCAGATTTTTCACCGTGGTTATTCACAAAGCACCCTGTGGGACGGAGCCAGGTTCACACGCACCCGGGCGTTCCAGGAGCTTCCCAAGCCTCCTTCACCCCTCGCTTCCTTGGGCAGTGTTTACCCGCAGACCCTCGTTGTCTTTTTTAAAGGCGGTTGCTTCCTCCCCTTTGCCCAGGCACCATGACTCACCCTGGGGGTGTCTCATGAGAGACACTTTCTGCTTTTGCTCTGAAACAGCCGCTGGTTCCCAGCAAAATGCCAAAATGCAGTGGGTTCTTGCACCGCGATGCCCATCCCAGCAGGGAACACAGCCTCTTCCCCGTGCACAGAGCCCAAAGGTCTTCAGGGGGCTTTGCAGGGGGGCCAGGCCAGACCAGTGGTCCGGGACCCAGGGTAGAGCGAATGCAGGTCAGTCCCTGCGGATGGACCGGTTGGGACCACCGGGATGCTCTCCCGGTCGTGATGGACTGGGATGACGGACTGGGATGACGGACTGGGATGATGGACAGCCATCCCTGCTGCACCGCTGCTCCCCGTCTCCCGAGCCAGCTGCCAGTGCGAGCTGGGCTGCTTTTGTTTGTTTTCTCAAGCAGAAGTGTCTCATTTCCCCCAAAAAACGCCTTTTTTGGCACAGATGTGGGTTTTGAGTGACAACGCTGTTTTTCTCCCGAAATTAAATGTTTCCACTGAAAGTTTCAGAAACCCAAACACAAAAAGCAAAGCCACTTCCCTGGCAGCTGCCTTGCCGACAGCTTTCTTCCTCAGTGCCCCTTGGAAAGAGCAGAAAGCACAAACCCCCAGCCTTGCTGGAGGCTGAGGCTGCTCCTTCCCCCCACCCCGTCCCCTCCTTGTCCCCCCACCGTGGCAAGAAGCAGCTCTGGGTTTTCCTTCTGATCGTCAAGTAACCCCATTCATTCCCAGTGAATCGGCCGACCACCTGTGAGCCGAGCCACCGCAAATAGCAGCAAGATCTAAATTCAAGAAGCGGCTGGAGATTACAAACCTGCTTTCTGCTGACAAGCCTTCCTGGAAAGACTGTGCAGCCAGGGCTCCAGCCACCTGCCCAGCCGCTCTCGTCTTCCTTGCTTTGAGTGTCGGGTTCCCTTTCCCCCTCCTAA